TATATTAGAGGTCACTGACACCTGTTAGATAGTCTGTGGCCTGTCTTATAAGTCACCTTTAGGATCGCTCACTAAAAGCTTAACCCCAGCAACTGAAATTATTATTCTTGCGCTTTTTAAAACGTTACAAAGACGGAAATTTCATTCAAAATTCTCTGGAGTGGCTAATAAAACAAGCTTTGCTCTAAATTAAGAGAATTAGCTTGGACATCTTGTCAATGTAAAGATCTCAAAACTCGAGAAATGCAGAAAACGTCTAACAGGACATTTTTTCCCGGTAGAAAAGAAGAAACTTTCAGTTCAACAGCCTTAATGAACTCAAAATGTTTCCTTGGCGCTGATTAAGAAATCCTTTTTTCTTGTATTTCAGCCACTGAGGACGCTCAAGTGACGTCAGTATTGGAAGGGGAAAAAGTGAATGTTCATAAGAAAAACTCACCAGGTAAGAAAAACTATAAAATGATGGTTTTCTACCGGTGTTTAAACTAAAGGGTGTTGTTTGGCCACAAAAACTTAAAAAATCAATGTATGCCATCAAAAGAGAAAGGAAATCAAGACACACGGAACCAGGCCCAGTAATGTCTTTGGACTGAACTGTCGAACCTACAATGCAGCTCTATTGTTGTGGAAGATCGAAGCGCATGGGCCACTGAGTGGGTTACATTCTCCATAATGCTAGTATTGATTCTTTTGTGTAATCATGGAATGGAAAATGTTATCTTAAGCCTAATAATCAAATTTATTGATAATGCTTCTTTGCAAATGAGAGTGGCGTATTTGGTAAAAAAGCTCAGGGCCTCAAGCATAATGTTGTGGAAGGTATAAAATGTACAGTTTAATGTTTTACGGTCGACCTCAATTGCTTTGTTTCATTTTCAAATGTGACTGAAAACGAATTCCTATCAACAGAAGGAAAACAAGAAATTGGTGCCAACGCTTCTCAAGACGGTGAGAAAGAATCTGATGGGATTTTTTTTAAATAAATGTCCAAACAAAGCTATCGTCATTGCAAGTTTGCACTCGTTTAAGAGGAATTTGACATTATTTTCATTGAATACTGAAGCATCACGGAGAGTCTGCGGCCCATTTGAGGAATATCTTTCCAAGTCACTCTATATAAGCGATCAACTCATACATTTTCCATGCAATTATCAAAACATCATTAAAATTAGAAAAAGACATTTATGCAGATGATCAATTGAGGAGTACCCATGGTTGTCACGATATGACACTAAATTCTCAGGAGTAGCCAACAAAGAAAAATTGAGGCTTAGTTGGGAGAATTTGATTTTAGGTCTTGATATGGTAGAGATTAAGGGTTGGAAAAAGCAGAGAACAAAAAACCTTCTCTCCCTGTTTATTTTGGCGGAGCAATCAAATCAGTAGAACAGTTTCCAGATCAAAGTTATAAAGTTTTAGTTTTTCAGTCTTCATGAACATAAAAGGGTGGGGCTACAATCCTCGAAGATGTATTTACCGACAATGCTTCCTTGCGTTTCAGTCACAGTAGAAGCCCATGTCACATCGATATCAGCGGAGGACAAACTCGACGTTCAGAAGAACACCTCACCAGGTGAGGAAAAACCATCAAATTAGAGTATGGCTACTTAAGCGATAAGCTCCAAAAATTACAGAATCGAGCAGCCAGAATTATTACTAAATTACCCATTGATACGATCTTAAACCACCTTCTCTCCACCCTCGATTGGGAGAGGCTATCTCTTCGACGAGAGAAACAAAAAGCCCTAAAGATGTATAAAATTATAAACAACCTTGCTCCCGAATATCTACAAAGTCTTTTCTCTCAGCGTCACTCTGTGTACGACATAACAAACTCTGAGGGAAGGCTGGCTTTGTCCAAACCAAACACCAATTATTTGAAACGAAGCTTCTCTTAGAGCGGGGACATGTTATGGAATAAATTGCCTAAAAACTTATAAAATGCTTCATCCATTAACCATTTTAGGCGAAATCTTAACGTAGTCGTTATATAGGATTCCCACACGGCAATCATGTAAAGCAGTTGATTAATCTTAGCTTTTATTATGTAAATGATGATTTTCCGTGTTTAAATAAAGATTTATATACATACATACATATATATATACATAATATTTTCGACCGAAGCAAAGGAATCAAAAGTTGTGTTCACTTTTGCTTGTTTTTATTGCTAGTGTTTTTGACTCAGCCAACAACTTCCTCTCACATAGTCATTTCGATACTATCATTTCATAATTTTAAGTTAATCACATTTTCGGTTTTTTTCCTCGTATTTTTGGGACAGGATTTCAGAAAACAAAGCTTTAATTCTTTACCATACCCAAAGAAGGAGAAAAATGAAATTGAATCTAGCATGACGTTGAATTAAATTGTAACAATCGTTAGCGGATCACGAATCTGATGTGAGAAACCAAAAAGTGAACATGTACACTGAAAATATCCAGCGCTTAGCGAGATACGTGATTCCTGCCTTTTTTAGCCCAATAATCCATGATTCATGAAAATGTTTTTTTTCCGATATTCGTGATTCATGTTTTAGCTACATTTCATAACCTTGAAAGCAAGAAAATTCATGACTCTTTATTTAACCGCTATGATTATTTTGCATGTAACTCCGAAGTTTTCGACTAGTAATCGTGAAGCCTGTGATTCAAGTGCCAGAGCGAGGTGGTATAACACCGAGTATGAATGTGTATGAAGTAGAAACTAGGAACAAAATTACAATTTCCTTTTTCTGACATAATGAGATAGTCAGTTGCTATTAAAGTTGACAGGGTCGCGTACAGGGCCAGTTGTTTCGATTTCGTAGGTGTACATGAGTAATGATCTGATCTTCACGAACAAAAACTAAAACTGCCTGCGAAACTGAAGTAGTTACCTTAGAAAAACACAGAAACAGAAACATGCATACACTCCTCAAAATTTATTTATAACCGAGGGGAACAGTATAAAGTGCCGTTGAACTTCTTCGAATTTCATCGTGCGGCTAAGCCGTGACACTTTAGTGGTTACACCTTGGAAACAGCAAGGAAACTTTTCATGTGGAGTTGGTGTCAAGAAAGCAAGACAAACTTCTGAGGTAAGAGTCGTGTATCAATAGGAGTGTTTTTTAATTAATATTAGATTTTTTTTTGTCATACTTACGGTAATGGTGTCCTTGATAATTTGTCTCCTTTGCAATTTGTACCTTCTCCAATATTAGAAGTAAGAAACTCGAATAATCGTTTGCTCGAAACTTTCGCCAGTTCAATCAAAAATTCAGGAAGGCTCAGGTTTTATTTCTGATATCGGCTCAATTCAAATTGTTGTTTTTCTTCCAATTATTCGAGAGTCCTCTGAAGCTAAAGTTATTTCCGTGTTTCTTTGCATTATTTTCTTCTCACTTTTCTATTCGGTACCTATTGATTCATTTGGCAAGAAATGCCAAAATATTTTTGGATCCTCCAGTAGTTTGATACTCTCAAAATCATGTCCTGTGATATTGCTAAAGTTCCTTTATTTTCTCGTGCTGAGCTCGACAAAGAGAAGATTAAAATTAAACTATTGATAAGTTCAACATCAGTTAGAAATTAATTTAGTCGTGTGAAATTAAAAAATTATGCCCAGCAAATTTTGATGTGGTCGTGATGCGGAATTGAATGCGCAGTGTTTGTGATCTATCACGTTTTACTATACTCCAAAGACATGTTCAATTTTTTTCGATCTTTGCCAATTTTGCGCGAATGTTAATTTTCGCGTAAGTCGCCACTATCGAAATAGACTTTTAGTTGTCCCTGAAAATGATAGCAAAAGGATGAAATAAACAGCAAATGACTTCGTAACAACATCCACTTTCTCGTACTGGCTTTGATCTATAAAACGGATCAAATTCACATTCCCAGGTTTGCCAAATTTTAATGATAATAACGCCTTTTAACCAAAAAAAAAATGTTGTGTTACGCCATTTTGACTTTGCGCTGATCGTTGACGCAAATTGTTTTCGTTCAAATATTTTGCTCATAAACACTTTTTTCCTAATTATTTTACGGGCTAAGGCCTCCTAATTAATCAGATCACACAGCTATGGGGCAACTTAGCAGCAGCCATAGTGATTATGATGATGGAAATTTCAGGCAAAAGATACAGGCGAACTCCAGCCAATTTGAGAGCGAGAGAATTGATGACATGTTTTATTGTCTAAAATAAATATGCAGATCAGTCTTGCTTTGCTTCTTAGGCCGTCGAAAAAACTAATTTCCGTCACCATATTGAAGCGAATCAGAAGAAAATGATCGATACAAGTTTAAAACTTTACAAAATTTCTCATTAAATCTAAACCTAATATCGTTATGTCGGCAAAATCGTTTAGGACATTATTGTTTTTGAAAATCATGTTTCATGCAATACATTCTGTCTTTGGAAAGTGTTAAAATAAAGAAACTTCCTGATACGCGGGAATTGCCGTGATGAAGTATCTATGGCTTAAATTTTTTAATCTGATTAACTGAAAGGAAAGAATTGTGCGAGTTCTGTAGACTACAAGCATAGAGCACCTGCGAAGGTGCGTTTCAATTAAACAAATTGCGAAAAACGAAGCTTGAAAACAGTCAAGCTACGACAGTTTTCGAATCCGTTTCCCTCCCAGATACTAGCTTGGTGCTACCACCCGACCAAAACAAAACAAGAATTTCTCTTGTAGCATGATCTCCCATCATGCCGAATGGTTTGTCCACACCCATTTTCGTTCATGATTACCCGGGCCTGGTTTTTTAATACATTCCGAATGCGCAGTTCAAATGATGCATATATTGATGAAGAAGCGAATCTTTCTAAACTAATTAATATTTTGTCTTTCCTTTTAGATTACCAAGTCATTACAATCTTCTCGCTAATGGATGAAATCCTCTCTCTACACCCTGTGTTACTGAAGTGAGTATTTCATATATTGTCTAGATACTGTTTATACTTCTTACATTGTCAGCTGTTCTCATCAAGCTTGCCTGCGTTGTGCCACCCGATTCGCCTTTAATCTACCGCTTCTAAGCGAATCTAATTATACCAAATTACCGCATACATGCTAATAAAGTAGGACCTATTTACCTACCGAGATTAGATTACCGAGAACAAAACAAAGGCCAAAACAAAACAAAACAAAGGAAAACAAAACAAAGGAAAACAAAACAAAGGAAATGATTTCAGAATGTTTTTCTGTTCTTCAGTAATCTTCACGCGTGGAATTTTATCCATGATCTCTTTTTACCAGATGTAAAAGCGATGAATTTTCCTCTTTCGCTTGAACCTTGCCACATGTCAAGTGCGACTGCGATACCGAAGACATTCTGAAATCATTTCCTTTGTTTTGTTTTCCTTTGTTTTGTTTTGTTTTGGCCTTTGTTTTGTTCTCGGTAATCTAATCTCGGTAGGTAAATAGGTCCTACTTTATCAGCATGTATGCGGTAATTTGGTATAATTAGATTCGCTTATAAGCGGTAGATTAAAGGCGAATCGGGTGTAGATTATGTTCTTGTAGNGTAAAAGCGATGAATTTTCCTCTTTCGCTTGAACCTTGCCACATGTCAAGTGCGACTGCGATACCGAAGACATTCTGAAATCATTTCCTTTGTTTTGTTTTCCTTTGTTTTCTTTTGTTTTGGCCTTTGTTTTGTTCTCGGTAATCTAATCTCGGTAGGTAAATAGGTCCTACTTTATCAGCATGTATGCGGTAATTTGGTATAATTAGATTCGCTTATAAGCGGTAGATTAAAGGCGAATCGGGTGCACCCGAGTCCTCTTTCGCCGAGTGATTTTGTTCTTGGATGCTGAATAAATAGTAGCCCATTTCAGGGGAATTTTTCTCACGAGAAACATTTATTCACACTCGATTTGACTCGTATTATTTCACCCTGTTTTATTTCAGATATGGCTGAGGATGGCTGAGGATAAAATCCAATCACCTGAAGAGCAACTAGGCATTGGTGACGATACGTCTACAGGTGAGAAAAAATTAAATTACAAATATTCTTTAAAGCGTCCATGTAAGAGAATTAAAACTATCTTTTTCACAAAGTTGCGGAATTCGAAAACATGAAGGTGGCCACTGACGCTTGAAAGGGTGTTTCTAGCCTGTCTAAGAGCCCGCTTTCCGGGGGAGGGGGGGCGCTCTTTAAGAACTCCTACGCCTTTCATTACCAAAGCCGATCAGCATATGAATTATTCTCAAATTTTTATAATACTATTAGGCTATTAAGATTTCTTTCAGTAAGGATACACACGGGGCTTATTATCTTAATTAACGCCGATTTTTCAGCAGAAGCAAACAAGAAGCCCTTAAGAATGCATAGGTTAAAAAGACTAGAAAAGCACAAAACCGGAAATCTTTACTCTTCTCCTTCTTCTAAATTATTTACGACTCAAAATTGATTGTCTTGGCCTCCCACGAACCTTCAGACTGTAACTGAAGACGGTTTTCTCAATGAAAACCACAAAAATCTCAATATATCTGATAGGAGACTTCATAGGAGACTCACTAACTTATATGGTATCTATGTATTTCAGCCACAGATGATCGTCAAGCTACGTCGATTTCCGTCGAGGAGAAACTGGACGTCGAAAGCATCATTTCATCAGGTGAGACATGATAGATTTCTCCTATCATCACCTCTAAAGAATGGTGTTTTAAAGTAAGGAACACGCCTGTACTAAAATAAAGAGGTTGCGAATGCTCTCAACGGGAGTAGAACCTTCCCACACTAAACTGTGTGGAGACTTGTGGTATGATGGCCATTAAATCAGATTCATGTTACTGACAAACATCTTGCATACAGCTGAGATTAGAATGCTTGCATTCATTGGGGTGATCATGAAATGGAATGCTGTATCTTATGGCTGGTGGTTAAGGTTAAAGGTGACGTTACTGAGCAAACAACTCTCATAAAAAATAAAAAAAAAATCTCCTCTTGCTCAACTTATTCGCCAAAAATAAAATAAACACAAAACAAACAAACAAAAAACCAAACAAGTCGTTTTCCAATGTGTTCTCATGAAAATTTACTACGACAATGACGTAAATTTAACCTTAATTCTACTCTGTTTTGTTAATTTTCAGATGTGGCTGAAGATAAAATTCCACAACCTGATGAAAAACTAGGAACTGGTGACAGTACGTCTACAGGTGAGAAAAAATAGATTTTAAAACTATCTACGAAGGTGTCTATGTATCATTATTTTCATCGCAAATCTTTCGCCTTTTGAGCAACATTTGGTTTTACATCAGGGGTTACTGACGCCCTAGATAGTCTGTGGCCTGTCTAATAAGTCACCTTTATGGTCATTCACTAAAAGCTTAACCCCGGAAATTTATCGTTGTTGCACTTATTTTAAAACGCTATCAGGACGAAAATGTCATTGCAAATTTTCTGGAGCGGCCGAAAAAAAAAAATAGAACTTCCTCTTAATTAAGAGTATTAACCTTCGACATCTTGTCAGTGTAACGATTTCAAAACTCGACAAATGCTGAAAACATCAGGCAGGACAGTTTCCTCGACAGAAACTCAGAAAATTTAGTTCAACAGTCTTAATGACCTCAGAATGTTTCAAAAACGCCGATAAGAGGTTGTTGTTTTCTTGTATTTCAGCAACCAAGGACGCTCAAGTTACGACAGCGGTTAAGGAAAAAAAGGATGTTCATGAAAAAAGCTCATCAGGTGAGAAAAACTATCAAATGATAGTTTTCTACCAATATAAAACTAATGCATGAAAAAATGTTACAAAAGCTTAAGAGATCAATGTATGCCGTCAAAAGAGGAAGAAAATTATGGCACAAGGAACCAGGCCCGGTAGTTTATATGGACTGAAATATCAAACTTGCAATGAGGCCCGAAGTGAAATGCCTGTGCCATCAAGCCTGCAGGACGTTTACGAACTTGATATTCGTTAGACTTTTCCGAACAAAAACCATAAATTTTAATGGAGCGGTCTTCCAAAAATCATAAGGAGTAACAAAAACCTAAGTTTCATCGACGCAAACTAAAATATGAACCTTTCGTGGTATTTCAGCAACTGACGATCCTCATCTAGCATCAGTTTTCGAGGAAGAGAAACTGAACATAAACAAAAATACTTCAACTGGTGAGAAAAACTATCAAAGGATGGTGTTTTACTGTTAAAACAACTGAAAGATGACGTGTTTTTTCAAGTGAGTGACAAGCACATAGTCAGGAAAGAGAAATTCCGAATGCTCCTCACAGCAGACAAACCTTCAACACTGAGTCGTAAATGATTCGTAATTTGAAGGCAAAGAAATCAGATTTATGGATCAAACATCTTACAAACTGCCATGATTGGGATAATAAGATTTAATCATCGCAAATTAAAAGATGTCTCATTCTTTGTATTTCAGCCTTGGAGGATCCTCAAGTTGAATCGATATCAGTTGATGATCAAGTTACCTCTATTTCTGTTGAGAAGAAACTGGACGTCCAAAACAGCATATCATCAGGTGAGAAAATAATAGTATTCTACTCTTATCACGTCTATGAGAGAGTGCTTTCAGTAAGGAAGCCACATACTCTTATAGGAGATACTTCGCATGCTCCTCGCAGGAGTTTAACATTTCACACTGAACTGTAATGAGCTCGTGAGTTGCATGTAACATGTGTTTACCAGAAAAATATTTTATTCTATTTCACTCGATTACAAGACCAAATCTTAAGCGAACTGCACTCTCCGAAGAATGAAAGAAAACTTAATACGAACAAAATGCTAAACTATAACTAATATATACGAAAATGGTCGATCGCAAATGGCACAAAAGGATCACGTAGTGCAAAAAATTCTAAAGAACGCCATGATCCCACTGATTAACGCGATTGTCTCCTGTTCACACACCAATTAGCGCAATTGTCTCCTGCCGAACGTGCCTCCTGTATAATGCTGGGATTGAATTATGTACGTGATTCGTTTGCGTGATCATCGAATAGACAAGGGTGTCTTAAGCCTCATGTTTAAAGTATTTGACGTTTCTCAGCAAATGAGAGAGAGGCTTACTCGTATTTTACAGATATATCCATGTGCTCTGAGAACATTTAGCGTTAGACCAAATAAATTGCATCCTCGGAGATATTTAACTTGGTCTTCAACAATCGACAGAAGAGGTGAAATGACAATGACCAAGGGCTAGAAGAGAATCCGTGGCCTTCCTAGCTCAAGAATTTCAACACTCTAGGCAGCAGTTGAAAGATTAAACTCTTTCCAAACCCCTTCGGTAACTGCCCGAAAAAATCTCTCCTTCCCACTATGTTCTCGTTAATAAGTTTTTGTTCAGATTTTAATTAGCTAACCGGAAACACAGCTAAGCTTTCTCTAAGCGCTTGCTGGAGGTCGTCCACGAACTTAAGCCGTATTGTGAACGACTTTACTACAAAGCGAAGATTAGATTTTGGCGCGCACAGAAAGCAGAAAGCTACGTAGGCGAAAGCGCCAGTTGCTCGACATACCTGCGTGGCCCGTGCGACGAAATAACTTCACGGGATTGGCAAAGTTTCAGTCACAGCAAATTATGCAAAAAATCTAGAAAGATTTAAGCTTAAATCTCGTTTAACGTTTAAAGCGACATATCAATGACTGCAACCATCGTGTTGTATACAAACCTCGCAAACTTTAAAACACGTTCTCTAGTGATACCTGCGAAAGTATTCAGTATAATTTCCGGTAAGATTTTCGCGGACAATCTGATCGATTTCTCTTACATTGTGTGCTGAGACTGAAACTTTTCACCTCAAGCAAATCTCCGTCGCACGGTCCAAACAAACATAGCGAGCAACTGAGCTACTAGTATATGTCCGTGTTAAAACACACGAAAGGACTCTAAAGCACACTTCACTCTGATTGGGCAGAAAAACACAAAGATTTTCTGGCACCAATCAGATGGCAGAACGACTGCGACCGTTTGGAACTAGTCTTGTAAGACAATGTCCCCAGGGGCTCTTCATGCCCTAACTTGAAATCGACCCACAGCCCCTGGGTCTCCGAGGATG